TTTAGTCGCTGAAAGAAAAATAAAAAATTATTTTTTATCTTTCGCAACCAAAAGTTTGGTCGGCAAAACCTTAACTTCAGCGACTAAAAATTATTTTGGTCGCGATATATATAGTTTTGGCAACTAAAATATTTTCGTCGCTAAAAGAAAAATAAAAAATTATTTTCACTCATCACTCTTTCTCTCTCTTTCTATTTATCTGTCTCTCTTTTTCTCTCTGTGTCTCTATCTCTGTCTCTCTTCTCTTTCTCTCTCTCACTCGTCACTCTTCTCTATCTGTCTATCTCTCTTCTTTCTCTCTCTCACTCATCACTCTTCTCTATCTCTCTCTCTGTGTCTCTCGCTCATCTCTATTTTCTCTATCTCTCGTTTCTCTTTGTCTCTCTTCTCTTTATCTCTCTCGCTCATCTCTCCCTGTATCTCTCTCGTTTATCTTTTTCACTCTTTCTCTCTCTCTCTCTCTCTTTGTCTGTCTCTTTTCACCTATTTTTTTATCTTCCTCTCTCTATTCTCTTTCTCTGTCTTACTCATCACTTTTCTCTCTCTGTCTGTTTGTCTATCTGTCTATCTGTCTCTCTCTCTCTCTGTGTCTCTCACTCATTTATCTCTTCTCTCATTTCTCTATCTCTCTCTGTCTCTTTCGTTCATCTCTGTTGTCTCTATCTCTCTTGCTTATCTCTCTTCTCTCACTCTCTCTCATCTCTCTTTTCTCTCTGTCTCTATTGTTCATCTCTCTCTTATTTCTATCTCTCTCTCTCTCTGTCTCTCTCATTCATCTCTCTTCTCTCTATGTCTCTCTCGCTCATCTCTCTTATCTCTATCTCTCTCTCTGTCTATCTCGTTTATCTCTCTTCTCTCTCTGTCTCTTTTTCTGACTCTCACTCTCTATCTCTTTCTCTCTTTGTCTCTCTCTCTCTCTCTCTTTGTCTCTCTTCTTTTTCTCTCTCTCACTCATCACTCTTCTCTATTTGTTTGTCTTTGTCTCTTTTTCTCTTTGTCTTTCGCTCATCTCTCTTCGCTCTATCTCTCTCATTTTTTTTTCTTTCTCTATCTCTCTTATTCATCTATCTTCTCTCTATCTCACTCTCTGTCTTTCCTACTCATCTTTCTTCTCTCTTTACCTCTTTCTTTTTCTATGTATTTCTCTCGATCATCTCTTTTCGCTCTCTTTCTCTCTCTTTGTTTATCTCTTATTCATCTCTTGTTTCTCTCTGTCTCTTTCTCTTTCCTACTCTGTCTCTGCCTCTATCTTTGTCTCTGTCTCTCTCTTTCTCTCTCTCTATCTCTCTCTTTATCTCTCTCTCTTTATCTCTCTTCTCTCTCTGTCTCTTTCGTTCATCTCTCTTCTCTCTATCTATCTTGTTCATCTTTATTCTTGAGCTCTCTCGCATCTCTGTCTCATCTCTCTTCTCTCTATCTCTCTCTCTCTGTCTCTCTCGCTCATATCTCCTCTCTATCTCTCTCTCTGTCTCTCTCGTTCATCTCTCTATTTCTCTCATTCATCTCTCATCTCTCTCTGTCTCTTTTTCTGTCTCTTTCTCTCTTTGTCTATCTCTCTCTCTTTCCTTTCTCTCAATCTCTTTTTTTGTCTCTCACTCTCCATCTCTTTTTCTCTTTGTCTCTCTCTTTTTCTCTCTCTCTCTTCTTTTTCTCTCTCTCACTCATCATTCTTCTCTGTCTGTCTGTCTTTGTCTCTGTCTCTTTTTCTCTTTGTCTCTCGCTCATCTCTCTTCTCTTTATCTCTCTCATCTTTTTTCTTTCTTTATCTCTCTCACTCGTCTCTCTTCTCTCTCTCTCTCTCTGTCTCTCATGCTCATCTTTCTTCTCTTTTTATCTCTCTCTTTTTCTATGTCTTTCTCTCGATCATCTCTTTTCGCTCTCTTTCTCTCTCTCTTTGTCTATCTCTAACTCATCTCTTATTTCTTTCTGTCTATGTCTCTATCTCTTACTCTCTCTGTCTCTCTCTCACTCATCACTATTCTTTCTCACTTTCTCTCTCTATGTCTGTCTCTCATTCTTCTCTCTCTCTTTCTCTCTGTGTCTCTGTCTGTCTGTCTCTCTCCCCTATTGTATTCACTTTGCTCACTCTCTCTTTCCCCTCTTCTCTATTTACCGAGCTCTTCACTACAAGAAAATGCACTTTTAGCGACCACTTTGTCTCTCTCTCTCTCTCTCTCACTCACTCATCTTTCTGTCTGTCTGTCTGTCTGTCTGTCTGTCTATCTCTTTTTCTCTCTCCCTCTCTATATATATATATATCTCTCTTTCTCTCTCTCACTCATTACTCTTCTCTCTCTCTTTCTCTTTGTGTGTCTGTCTGTCTCTCTCTCACTCATCACCCTTCTCTCTTTATTTCTCTCTGTGTGTCTGTCTGTCTCTCTCCCCCATTGTGTTCATCTTGCCTACTCTCTCCCTCTCATATTTTTTATTTACCGAGCTCTCCACTACAAGAAAATGCACTTTTAGCGGCCATTTTGTCTCTCTCTCTCTCTCGCTCATCACTCTGTCTCTCTCTCTCTATCTCTCTTCTCTATCTGTCTCTCACCCATCTCTCTCTCACCGCCCATCTCCTCTACCACCTTCACCACTACTGCAAATGTCATTCCACTACCACCATTATTACCACTGTTGCCACTCCATCTCTACGACTACCATTACTACTACCATCGCCACCATTTCACTACCACTACCACTACCACCACTGCTACCACTACTACTACTACTACTATTCCCTTTCCTCCCCCCCCGCCACTCCATCTCCTCCACCATTACCACAATTTCACCACTAATCTCCTTCGCCGTCACCACTACCACCACCACCACCTCACCTTTTATCCACCACCTTCACTACTACTACCGCTTCCTCTCCTCTACCACAAAAAATTAGCTCTTGATTTTTAGTAACCAAAAAAAAAAAA